AGAAGAAGAAGAAGAAGAAGAAGAAGAAGAAGAAGAAGAAGAAGAAGCAAAAGTTGGAAGAAGTCAGAAGAAGAGTCAGAAGAGTCAGAAGAGTCAGAAGAGTCAGAAGAAGAAGAAGAAGGAGAAGAAGAAGGAGAGTCAGAAGAAGAAGAAGAAGAAGGAGAAGAAGGAGAAGAAGGAGAAGAAGGAGAAGGAGAAGGAGAAGGAGAAGGCAAAGGCAAGAAGACAAGTCCAAGTTCACCATTTGGTCGAAACCAATATTGAGCATTCCCAGGAGTTGACTGTTCACCAAACACCAGCTGCACCGCCAGCTGCAATCCTGTCTTGGCAATTTGGGTGACAAGCTCAGGAACGTGTTTGTGGTATTTTGTAGTTGCTTTCAGGTCTTGGTCACCCACAGGGTTTGGTCTCCCTCAAAGGGTTCGCCGTCCCACCAGAAGACCAGGCCACTGATCAGAAGGTGCAGACAGCCCTCAAGCGGCTTCCGGAGGGGACAACGCTACGCGGAGTGATTGAAGGGACACCAGCACTGGTGATTTCTGGACATTCATGGGTGGGTGGAAGGGGAGCAGGTAGAGAGAGAATGGAGAGAACAGCTGGAAGAAAACATGTTGAAAGTACTCTACTATCTAACCTGGAACCTTCTTCGAGATTGACATTTTGTGGGTTGCGTAGGAGGCCTACCTCATGACACGGGCACAGAAGGACACTTGTCCACCACAAAAACATGTCGCCCTTGACGCTGAGGTTGTTGGTGGTTTCCCATCGATTGGCAACACTGCAGGACTATGACCTGGTGGTGGTCCTGGGGGATGGGGAGGTGATCGAATTTGGGAAGCCAGATGAGCTGGAAGCTGATCCCAATTCCAATTTCGCCAGCATGCTTGCGGCCGAGCGGGGTGGAGAAGTCTTCTAAAACAGATGTTGCTTACTCCTCCGGACGGTGCTTCTTCCGGCGCGTTGGGACGGTGGAGATGGTGGAGGGTCGGCATTGTCCCGCAAGTGCCTTTTGACATCCGGTCCTTTCTTGTGGGTGCTGAGACTTCTTGGTTGATTAGGATAACTTGACTGACATAGCCACAACAAGACCTTCCTCCTCAAAGGATCTTTGCTGCTCTGTGGCTGAAGTCTATGGCCGAACATGCAAAACTGTTGTTCTTTGGCCATGATTGGATTGAACCTGTTGCTCGCGTCAGGTACGTCATCCCATCTCATCCCTTTGTGTCGAGTGAGCACAAGAAGCTGGAGTGACACTGTCCATTGTGTTTCGCCCAAAAGAGGAGTTGCCGAAGCTGATGCAGCTTCAGAATGTCCAGCGAGCAGTGAATCGAGTGACCAATCGAAGGGCTGTAATCCTTTAATTAAGCTAGAATCACTGGCCCTGCAGCAGAAAGTTTCTTCAAGAATCATGGGGAGCAATGGAACAAGAGTTGATCGTGCTTGTATGGACAATCCGTGGGTCAAGGTCAAGGGAAAAAGGCCCTGAGATCCTTTATCAACCACCTTTTCATGGTGTGGGAAGAGAGTCTCTTCATCGGCTGCAGCCCTTGAACGGCCCAAACACTGACCGCCCCTCTTGCCCAAAGATCTGGACTGAGAAGCCAAGCTGCTGGGCCTGAAAAGGTTGCACAAAAAGACTGTAAATCAGGGTACCTCTTAATAGCGAAAGTCCTGATTAATAACGACATCCAGATTTTAATTGCGAAAATTAAATGATCTCGTTCTTGCGAAATGATACGCTGATTGCCACCACATGGCTGAGTCAACGTGACATGGCAGAGCTGGGTCTCTGCCAACATGGCACAGTGGGTCGGACCTTGTGATTGAACTTGGCGGGTATTGAGTTCTCAACAGGTCCAAGAAATTAAAGCGAGGGATGCACCATTCATTGCTCAGCTGCTTCCACCTCAAAGGTCCCTCGAGGACCATTGCTGTGCTTCTGGCAGCCGTAGTGGCAATGAAATGAGCTTCGCAATTAAAGTTCACCATTTCGCAATGAAGGATTTGCTTTTATTTTTCCGCTACTGAAGGGCCCCCTCAATGTAGACTGTGTCCGAGTCTGCTGAAGCACCTTCGAGGGATGCTTGCCCCCCACAAGGGCTTTTGATTTGTAAACATGCAACACCTGACCCTTATCGTAGTGTTCTTCTGGGGGATTTGGTCCCCTTGTGGCTTGTGGAGTGCCACAATGGACGTTGCCAAAGAGTGGTCGCGTCCCCCTAGGGGTTCCTTTTTCTCAAGGAACTCCCTAGACCGAGCTTTTGTGAGCTGTGCACTCTGAATTGTGTCCTACTGAATCCCCTGAGCTGCGACCCTCTTTCGTTCGCTGTCTCTAAGGCTTTTGATGGCGCCCAAACCAGAGGAACAGGAAGCCAAGGAAGAAACCAAGGTGCCTCTGGCTCAAAAGTCAGAAGCCAAAACGGAAGGATCCAAAGACCTAATGTGGGGCGGTGTGGCCAGTGAGGGCCTCAACCACAGTGAGACCCACTGGCCCCCTGGTAGACACGACCACTTATATATATATATACATATTTTGCCATCCCTTGAGTGTTGAAGACAACTTCTGAGCTTGGGAGTGGATCACAAAATTTCAGATCCTTAGGTTTTATTCTTTCAGTTTTTTCTACAGGACCTAATCAATCAACCAACATCAAGCTACCAACTTAGTGGATACGTGGCACATGTGGGGCAAGCACAACTGTGCCGTGCCATCTCTGCGACCACTGAGGTGGAGGAGCCTGCTGAGAAGCCAGCAGAGGGAGAGGCTGATGTGGCTCTGCGCAGGGTGGTGACGTTTGGAGTTGAAAAGAGAACGCTTGGACTACTCAGAAAGTGGATCGGTTCTTAGCTAATACTCCAAGATGGTTTGCTTCTGGGAGTCCAAGTGTATACTGTAAATTGGTTCACTTTTGCAGCATTCCTTCAAAAATAACGATCCTGCAAATCTTGCTTTGAGCGATGGCAAGTGAAAGCAGTCTTTCAGGGAATGGTCCGGCCACCTGAGTGTGGTTCGCCCCCCAAAAAGAAACCAAACAAATCAAACAGCTTTGAAAGAAGGCTGCAGAAGAAGAAAAAAAGCCTGAAGAGGAAAAAGAGGCCGGGCCAGGGGAAGGTGCACGCGGTCCCTCTCCGAGCCGTGCAGGCAAGGGGCCGGCTGGGCCGAGACAAGGGGATGGAGTGAAATAGGACGTATCTTCCTTGAAGTAAGGGGACTAGGGAGAACATGTGACCGTCCTGTGTTCAGCACTTTATCGCACGTGACTTCATTGTACGGCTTTCAGCCCCTGTCGGGACTCACAGGCGCTTTTTCGGTTGGTACTCCAAAAAGGACCCCTTAAAGGTGAACATCCAGAATATTGTGCGGAGTCTATTTAGAAAGACTTAGCGTATTAGAGAGGTTTGGCATTGTACAAGCTCATTTACCTCTGTTGGCTTTGCTCAGACCGTTTCCTTTTCTCATCGGACACTTTTTACTTTAGATTCTTTCGATTTAAGTATGTTGCAACACGTGCGCTTTTTGACCTAGACCTAGCTTGGCATCAATGCATGTCCAAAGCTTTGTTCAAGATTTGTCCAAGGACTTCAACATTCTGCTCTTCCTCTCATTTCAAAGCCATCTCCGCTGTGTCCAAGTGTCAGAAGCGCTTTCAGAACATAACCCTTTTGCCTTCTATCAGCATGACACCTGCAGTTGTGAGAAATCCTGCTCTGTCCCAATTCGCACAGCCAAGAATCAAAGGTCAGGACTGGGCATCCACAACTGCTTGCATCGCTGCACTTTCGCTGGCCGATGTCCGGCCAGAGGCCTGGCTGCCCTGCTTTGCAGCATTCGCCCTGTTTTTCTGGAGGAGCGCAATGCACCGCACAAAAAGTACAAAGCTCCTTGGTTGGCATCCCTCTCTGCCGGTGACCAGAAGACCTACCGGTTCATCCATGTCTGCTGTGGTGCCCTTCAGGACTCTTAGGCAAGTCTAAGCTGCCCCTTTGATTTGGCTGCTATGTAGAGTATTGTATCAAACTGTTGCACGGTGCCTTGTTTTAAAGCTGGCCATCTGACAGATTTTGACAGTGTATGGCAGGGCAGCTACATGCCTTGCCAATGGCTTTCTTGGTGCTGACCACCCTGTGAATGGCACCGGAGGCAGCTACTGCTTTTTCTGCCGCAAGCAAGAGCGCTCTTGTTCGAGGCTAGGATTGTAACAAGGTCCCCCAACAAGCAGTTTTTACGGTTGCTCTCTAAGTGGACTTTGCGGACGAGGTAGACTGAGCTCTGAACCAGGTGGACTGGGCCATTCAACAGACTTGGCGAATTCACTTTGTTCAACCTTGGCATCTCTGGCATACATACCAAGCGTGATGTGCATCTCATTCACATGAAACACGTGATTGGACACCAAGCGCTGTGTCGTGGCTTTGCAGGTTGAGTCAGTTGAATTTGGTGTTCCAGGAGATGTCCACCAGCGCCTCTGAAGCTA